GAAAAATTATTGAGATGGGCATGTGACGTGTCAAGGGGTCTTTACATAACACCCCCACCCCAAATCCGCACAAGCCTGCTGTGTCCCCCCCACTTCTGAAATCAAAATTTCGTCCCTGCTCACTACCTTCCCTTTCTTCACTTACATCATCCTCTTTCTCTGCTGCAAGGGGGACAGACACCACACAAGCAAAATGGATCATGATTTAGGTCACCAAAATATAACCTAACATGTCCTTTCAGATAAATCTGCTGCTAATGATTGCTTGTAAATTGAATAACTTAATTGTATAGTGAGCTCACCTCCTAGTCCAGCCCAGTTGTGGTTGACTGTGATACCACGGCCCCACCTCTGTTACCTGGTCTCTACCAATTCTCTCCCCTCTTTTCTTTTTGTTTCTTTTCTTCTATTCTTTTTCTTGTTTTTCTTTATTCTGTTCTTTCTTCTTTCTCTACTCTACTCTGTTACTCTTCATCAATACGACCCAACAACTGGAGGGGAGTTCTTGAGTGACATGCGGCAGCCCGTGCATTGCCAGTGAATCCCTAATCCAAACTGTTTTGGTCAAAGCACTGATTCAGGGGGATTTCACTGAGTTACATCTACTCTATCTACTCTACCTAACCCTACCCTAACTATGGGTTGGGGAAATTTTTTTTTGAAAATTCCATACATTTGGGTTAGGGAAAATGGTCACTCAAAGTAGGTACCATTTGACTCCAAATGGTCTGAAACGTGCTCATTTGAGGTTTCTGGGAGAAGGGTTTGGCCTCTGACAGGAAATTTTCACTTTACAAAATCCCATTCATTTCTATGGGAAAACTTTAGTGGACTCTTTAGTCCTGCCCCAGTGGTCCTAGTACTAGCCAAAGTTACTGCAACCATTGGTTACAGTATCTCTGACTAGTACTAGGACCACTGGGGCAGTAAAGCCCCCACGCCACGTCAAGGCACAGTCCTTGTGTTTGTTTTTTTTTTTTTGTCTTTTTTGAATTTTTTTATTATCTAACTACTCAAAACTGATACAAAAATGAACTAAAGAACTATGTACAATCAACATTTCTATCAAACATTATAACATCTATGCTAACATTACATTTCAAACACAATCACAGCTTTTTTTGTATGTTTAATATTTTTATTTTATTTTATTTTTTTTTATCAAACTACACTAAAGTGATGACAAAATGAACAGAAGAAGATCACAACAATGTTAACATTAGTTTTTTTAAAGTATTTTTGTTCCTGTCCATGGTTGTTCAAGTCCTTGAACAACTTTATTTTTTGTATTTGATCAAGTTTCTCCTCCTCTTGAATGCTTCTTTCGATCTCATGAGTAACCCTGCACTCTGACATGCCCTGATGTATTGCCTGTAGTCCTGCTCAAAGGTTCCTGTGGTTGATATTAGGCTTGTCTCCTGAGAAGTCCAACCACTTCTTGTGGAATCAGGGAGGGTCTCACTGCTCACCCTTGCAGGTTTTGGACCTTCTTCTGTGTCTTCCTGCAGTTGTATATCCCCTTCCATTATGGGTGGCTTGCTTGGTTGCTCCTCCTCCTGACCAGCAGTTGATGGTCCTGCCTCATCCAGCTTCCTTTTGGGGGCCTTCTTTTTCTCCGGCACCTTGGTTGGTATGTCAAGTGCCAACTTGTAGACAATACAGTCTCTGTGTAAGATCCGAAGGCTGAAGGTTGACCGGATCTTAAGGTCGAGCAGTCTCTTCTAACTCACTGGCAGGGTTCTGTGGAGTTGGACAATTTTTGTGAAATCGATGAAGGCACCCTCCATCATCATGCCAACAGCTGAAAGGTAGACCAAAAGGTCCATATTTCTGTCGGGTCTCCTTTCAAGTTCAGGCGGGAACCTCTGGAGTACCATGGGGAGCCACGGAATGCCCCATTCCTGATACCTTTCCACATGTCCCTGACCTGTCAGATCTCTGTCCAACAACTCCTGCAGGATCTGTTGAGACAGCACATTTGTTTTGGTAGCAGAAGACACGGGAGCACCCTCGGGCCTGACTTTGATGTACTCATCCACGATCCATGTGACCCTTTTCCCCCCACGGAAGTCCCGATAGTGGATTGAGGGGAAGAACTTCAGTTCAAGGCTTGCCATGCCCAGAGTCAGCAGATGAGTAAGGTCTTTTCTCTTTCCCTGGAGCAGCTCCTGCACCCTGCGCATGACCATGGGGAAACGGAAGAAGGTGATGTGGTCCACGATTTTTTTTGGCCAAGGCAGAGTACTCCAGGGAATCCTTCACTTTCAGATTCTCCACTTCACCCTTGAGCTTTGCCCATGCCACATCTTGCCCCTGCCCATAGATGTCTTTGAGCAACACCTTCACAACTTCCATTCCCAGGACCGAGTCGTTTGCCTCCCATGCTGACGACAACTGGAACAGCTTGTGTACCCTGCCTTGGTACGTCTCGTTTGTGTTCCAGATGCGCAGTGGCGGAGGAGCAATGCCTTCACTGGCAGAGGACCAAGGGGTGAGGGCGAGGAAGCCACGTTCCTTGGTCCGACTGTCAACGTGGGTGGATGAGGTGCCCAGACTAACACTGTACGGAATGGAGACACCTGCGCTTGGGTGGCCATGGAAAAACTCTTCCAGGGCTTTTTCATGCTGGTAGGCCCTCCAGGTATTGTCATAGCCCCCGCAGAGATGTGCCTCCAAGTACAGCGAGTTGAGCGTGCTGCACAGGTGCTGAGTGACAGCTGTCACCACAGTGTGTAACCCTTCCTGGTTGATGGATTTAAATGAGACCAGCATTGCCTCGTTTTTTAACAGATCCATCAATCGTGGCACATTGAAGTACCTGTGTGCATGCATTATCATGGGAATGTCCCCGCCTTCCAGGAAAAGGACAGCCTCAATCCTAGCTGCCAGCTGAATGTCCGTTTTGAAGGCTAGATCGCTGTAATGACCTATGTAGTTGTTCGCTCTCTTCAGCAATGCCTTGTTATACTCCTTGTGAAGAGCACCGCACGTGACAATGGCACCGCTCACAGGGTGCCGATAGAATGGCAAGATGCGCCGGTGCGGTCCATTACAATGGAGCTGAACAAAGTTGAGGCTGGGCATTGCATCAAGATTTTCAGCCTGAAAGATGCTCCAGATGGGTCTGGTCACATCAATCCACTTGTGGTCCAGGTTTGATTGGAAATTTGCAGACTCCCTGATTGACCAGTTGGTAAACATGCTTCCATTTGTTCCAGTTACTCGACTGATCCCATGACGTGACCACATGAGATCAACCGACTGGTCCTTCGAAGTAATGGAGCATGCCACATGGAAGGAGGCAGAAACAATGTGGTCTGGATCACTGATGTGCCTGCCAAACCACACTGGATGGGGATTTTTATGTCCAACTTGTGAGATGAACTTCATCCATTTGTAGCCAGGGCGTGGAGGTACATCGGTGATGGAGTCATCAAGAATGTCCAAAATGAAACTTTGATCCGTTGCACAGACCCAAAATTTCTTTATGGCAGAAAGGTTAGTTTTCTGAATGGACGGTCTGGCCCTATCCTCCCTGGGCAGCGCCTTCAGCTTTCAGTGAACTTGTCACCAATAGCCTTTAAGGCTTGGAACATGGCAACCTTGTTGGTTTCTGGCAGAAAAAAGTGAGGCATGTCAGCACTGTCTGGGATGAGGACAAGCCACATCTGCCAACCCTCATCAACATAGCCCAACGTTACTCCAAGGCTCCTGGTCCAATGGACTTGGTCCCTTGAGGAGAAACGATGCGGTCTGATGGGCTTTTTTATGAATCTCTACTGGTGCTGCGGCTCCAGTCCACTCAAAAACAAGTGATGTATCGGAGTGGAAATGACGGAGAACTTCGTCAACTCCACGAGGCCTCCGTCGAAGTCAAAGTTCAACTCCAGGTCCTCCGGGGTAGGGTGGGTGGTAGGGAAAATGGGGACGAGGAGGTCTTCCTCTCTGAGGAAGGCCTCTGGATCACGCCCCAGCCTTGAAAAAGGCTCTTGTTTGGAAGAGGAGTTCTCCTCTGCTACTCTGATAAAATCAGTAGCTTCCATGAGTGCAAATGCTATGTAAAGATGTAGATCTGTAGTAACCAGTTGCAACGATGTGTTTGCCTCACCTCTCTGACACCAACTGACTGAGTTACATGAGTTTTCCTCTTTTTATACCGTTTAAAAAAATTTAAATATATTTTCATTTAATTTTTAAAAATAACAAAAACTTCAATTGACATTATCTCTTGATAGGAAGGTCGTGGAAACAAACGGACAACACCTACTCCCCCAACGTCGATGGCGGGCTTTCCAACGGTGGCATCCATTTTGTTCTACGCACTTCCGTTGCTGAGATATGCCCATTTTTATTACATTGCCTGTATCTCCAGAACGGAAGGTCGTAGAGACTCGCGGATACTTCCTGCGTGTTCAGAAGGGTCAAATTATGTCAGGAGGAGCTTGGTTTTGAGCAGCTGCAACCTTCCGTTCTGGAGATATTCGCATTCAAAGTTTTAGAACATTGATCCTTCATCATCTCTTTAACAAAACATGGTGGAAACAAACGGACAACGCCTATTCCCCCTAATTCAATGGCTGTGTCTCAATTCAGGGTCTGCATCCTTCGAAGGACCCAGCCCACCTGGCCGACGTGGGCTGCGTCCTCCGTCGCCCGGGTAGACCGGATGTTAACGACTGAATTGGACAGGCCTAGCCTTCATGAACTCCCTCGGCGAACGTTCCGTTGCCTAGCAACCGTGGAACCGCTGGGCAGAAGGAACCTTAAACGATGGAGCTCGACGTTTTATTTAGCTTTTTAACCCCCAGAAACCCAAATTTAGAAAACAACTGCAAAATATTTTTTTAACCTTTCACATGTTGTTCTAGGAGGCCAGATAAACGGGCCTATTTACACATTTTAACAGCCAATAGTGTTGCAGAACTGAACAATAGGACCTATTAGCAATGTAAATGTGGTTTTAAAAAGAAAAAAAATGGGGAAGGTTTATTTTTGTGGACTTAAATCTGATGTTGTAATATTACAACCGTGGGTCTCTGGGGGTTAATCATTTCCTTGACTGTTGGAGAGCTAATTCAGAGAAAATACTTTAGACTAGCTGAGCCTGAGCAAAGATGTGATAATAGTTTTTAATACTTTCTAAGGGTCTTAATTTGACCAAAACCGATTTATCACCTTTTAAGACTTTTCAAGACCCAGCGGATACCCTCTAGTAAACAATTCTCATTTGTAAACAAAAATAAAATTCAAGAGTTTAATGCAGAACTGATTTTATTTAGATATTTCTTTTACATGTACATGTTTAATCTTCCTTAACCATTTTTTCTAGCAAAGTAAAAAGCTGTCAAAGTTCTTCCTTCTCTCCTGTGCTCTCTGCTGCTCTGCCTCCCTCTGCAGCCTCAATTCCTCCCAGATCAGCTCCAGAAGCTCATCGCTGGCACCTTCCCCTGGATGCCCATTTTCTCCAGAATAGTCTTAACAAACATGTAAGAAAAGAAACAGGAGAAAAGAGGACAATGGGTTATGCCTTTCATGTTTTCGCAGATAAAAATAAACTCAAACGAGTTTTTAAAATATGAGATGTTATTGTACCTCCATGCCACAGCCGCCAAATACTTTGCTCCGGTGATCATGTGGTCCATCTCCACCCTAAGCTTAATAAATTCCCTGGTTTTCTCTTTTGGTCCTAAAATACAAACTTCTATTAAAATCAGGGGGAAACGTAGCGGGAGAAGTACGACACCGAGCGCGGCCGAACATACGAGCCGAGACCGCAATACAAGCACTTTTACTGTAACATTTCTCACTAAAATAACGTTCATGTATCACAAAAAGTCCTTAAACTGACAGTTTTCAAGTTTATACTTACATTTATATGCGCAATCCTCTCTGACAGCTCCCGCTTCACTGTCCGCCATTGTTTTTAAGTTTTTCTGCCGGCCGGCCCGCAAGGCATCTTGGGAAATGCTACCTATTGAAGGATACACCCTGTTAGGTATTTTTATTTATTCATCTTTGTTGTGAAATCTTTTGTTAAATGTGTTGGGGAAAAACCTGACCTTACTTGTTTTTACGTTTGGGTGTTTTAGGAAACTCCTTTCTGCTTTAGGCATTTTGATCCAGTATCTGAAGTTTTCCTTTGTCCTGTGCATTCTAAGACCAGAGTGTTTTCCATTAGTTAAAAGCAAACTGGTCAGGTAGGAAAATTAGCTCAAATCTAGAAACTTCTCTTGTGATTGTGGAATTTGTGGGTGTGAACATTTTGGATTCAATAAAACCCCCTCCATGAGCTCGGGCTCCTTTGTGAGAGGAAAATGGCTTCCTTGTTGTATGGTCTGATTCTCTCACCCTCTGCAGAGTTTACACTTTGCAGAGCTTGTTGTCTGTTTAAGGTTTGTTACAATTTACTAAATTAAGAATCTAATCCCTCTGTGTGTGTGTTCTGACTTTAAGGTAATTTAAGTTTAACATGATATGAGCACAATAGTATAAATTAAAATACGCAACATAATAGTGAATAATGCTAAATTAAATTACCGAACATAGATTAAAATTACCTATCATGTGGTGGAGAATGTGGGCAATGCAGAGCTGGTGAGCTGAGGGCTTTGTCTGTGAGCTGAGTGGGGGTAAGACTCCATTTGGCTCCATGGACGGGCTTTCTGCGCCCAGCTCTCGCATATCGATTCAAGGTCATGTAAATTACGAATAATCAATCTACGCTCTCTCTCTCTGTGTGTGTCGTCCTTTAAGGTAATGGAGGAGCTGTAATATGGGAGAGAGACGATGGAAAGCTCCGGAGGGAGTTTGGGTCTTCGCCCTCTTTCCTCAATTTCTAATTATGTAAGGTGTGTTATTTCAGGTGACGCATATAAAAATTCTAACAGTTAATGGTCTTTCGAGCAAGGTAGCAGATGCCTTCTGGTGGGAGATCGCCTTCGGGGAGCCGCATGGCCACTTCCTCATTAAAGTCCGGCCAGCTGAATTGCTCTCCGGCCGGCTGCTCCGCAGGTGAACTTCCGCCTATGGCTCTCGCTCTACCAAAACGAGGAACGCCAAGTAAGTACCTAAATTAAGTTGCACCCTTTATTTTTATAACTAATTGTCAGTGTGGTTTACGCTTGTAGTGATTTTTTTGCCATCCACGTTCGAAAGACGTTTCGGGCGCCGGCTAGGTAAGAGCTAGTGATAGCTGCTGGAATTTTATCCTGGACTCCGTTGGCCTCAGTTAAACAAGCGCTGCGTTAAAGCGGCCAACCGCTGTGGGCATGGACGCACACTTCCTTTTGCAGCTGCCGACAGAAAGGTTTTGACAGATTCTGTTTAACGCTGTGTACTTTGAAGTGCGTTGAGTTATACAATAGGACATGTTGGGATCGCGACCCAATGTGTTTGTTTGCTATATCAAATAGGTACGTGAGATGTGCACTGACTTAGATAGATGTTGGCGATATGCCTGCGGCACTACAATAAGAAGTGATGTGATGTGAAGCCATGTAAAAGCGGATAGTAATGTGAAAAGAGGAAAACGCCAGGGAGGTTGTAATCCGTCTATGTCTGCGCGCATAGCACCCCGCAGGGAATGGAGGTCTCAGATGCCGACAGGAAGGATGACAACTAGCGTGCAGCACTGAGAGATGGGTGGGTCGTAATAAGGTTGGATGTGCAAACCACTATGTAAACTTACTGACGATGGTATTGTTAAATATTTCATGGTGCAGAGAGTTAATCATCGTTGTAATTGGCTAAAATAATCCAAACCGTTTTAAGATTTACTCCTTGTCATTTTGTGCGTCAGCCGACTCATTGTGTTTCTGTGTGTGAAAGCTGTGTCATGTATGGTGACTCAGGACTTCAAGGAATGTGTGTGTGTAAGACAACTGCAGTTCTGAGCATCAGTGTGTGTGCATATCTGAGTTTTTGAGTGAAACCTGTGTGATTGTGTAGCTACAATTTTGAAGTTTGAACCGGTTCTGTCTGTCTATCTGTTCTGTCGGTTCTGTCTTTCTGTCGGTTCTGTCTGTCTGTCTGTCTATCTGTTTGTCTGTCTGTCTGTCTGTCTATCTGTTTTCTGTCTGTCTGTCTATATGTTTTCTGTCTGTCTGTTTGTCTGTCTGTCTGTCTGTGCATGTATGAGAATGTCTGTCTGTGCATGTATGAGAAAGTATGAATCTAGAGGTAATTCTGAAACAGTGTGTTCAGTTGTGTGTGTGTGTGTATGAGTGTGTGTGTGTAAAAAAGAAAACTATCACCAGCAGGGTAGCTACAGAGGGAAGTTTAATCCCCAGAGGGATGGACGTAACAGCAATCAGAGACAGTGGTCCTCACTAGACCACTCACAGCCACTCGTTTGTTGGACTTGTGGAAGTCAAGGTCACATGTCATGTGACTGTCCCTCCTAGTCAGATGGCCCAGATAACAAGAGCCCAAAGAGGCAGGGGTTTCCAAACATAGAGGAGCCGACCTAGCCATGAGCCTGTCAATCATCAGGCTGCCTGTTAAATCTTCTAGGCAGAGACCTCATGTCAGCGTCAAAAATCTCTATTTTCCCCATAAAGGAAGACATGAGAACGGTTTGTGTGGCTAAAAGATTGCTGTCATCTCCATGGGTGTGTGACTGCTGATAGAATCTTTGAAGTGATAAACTGACTTTGTGGTGTTGACGGATGAGTAAGAAGTTTAACTTAAACCAGATCCCTGCAATTTATTATTTTCCTGTTAGAAACTAGATTTTCCAGGGTTTGTGGTTGACACTAATAGATCACGTAGGATTTAGACCTAAATAGTTCCCTAATGCCCCTTTGTATATTTCTCTTTTGTGATGAATGAGTTACAGAATTAGAAGGTGCCTTTATTATAAAGTATGATTTGGTATTAATGTGGTACAAAGCCCCATGAATAGTTTCTGCTTGGTTTTTTCATATGATGTATAACTGTAAAGAAGGTGCCTTATTGCCATTTTAAAGTGAGAAACTCTTTTCCTTTGTGCAAATTCTAACACAGATCTGGTTTGACCAGATTCAAGTTCCTGTGAAGGCAGAGTAGCTGGGAGGCCTAATCTATGTCCACAGATGCTTTCTGCTACTGGATTTAATTTAAGGATGTGGTTTTGCTTCGGTATGGTCTCTGTTTTCAATTGGTAAAGTTCCTTCATGGAATGCAAACCTTAGCTCAGCAACCTGTTTTGTTTCATTGGTCAGACTAAGTAAATATGGTGTAATTGTAACATTTGTCATTTTCTTTGGAGAAGTGAGCTACTTTTATGAGACATATGAAAAGCTTGGTTTAAAGTACTCTGACTCCATCCTATGTTCTTTTATTTGCAGTTAATTGTATATTGGGTTTATCTTTACTTTTTACTTTCTGGGAGTGCGAATTTACCAGATTTCAGGGGGTGACAACCTAAAACCCGGGTATTAGAAGGTTTGTAGTGCCTGTTTGCATACAAAACTACAGTTTGGGCATTCCAAAAATAATGGTTGTCATCATTTGAATCTCCCTGGTTCCCCGATATTCAGTTAAATCTTTATTTGATTTATTTTCCAAAGTCGGCTGCTGCTGAAGTCAGTCCAGCTCAAGACTGGTTGAGCTGCTTGCTGAACAGTTAATCAGATAAGTGTTTTCTGGCTCTGAGCAAAAAAAGGTTTGTCTCAGATCTTTATCAGTAAAGGACAAAAGAGACAGAAATGTTCTGAGTTCTGACCCAGTCACTAAACTTCTGAGTAAGGATGTTTTGCTTGGTGTAAATTGTGTTTTAATACTGCTATAGTAAGGGTGAGCTGCCATTTCTGTTTAACCTTTTGCTTGTTTGATAAGCTAGGCAGATATATGGTACTTCAAGGGTTAGTGAGTAGTTAGGTTTATTCTTTATTATTTTGGCCTCTGGCTTACCCTGAAGCAAAAGCAGTGATCTCAGCCTGGAATACATAGATTTCTTAGGGTTAAGTGTTAAAACTCTGTTCTTTTCTTTTGCTGAGACAGTCTTTTTAAATCTAATGATTTTATGGTTATAATTAGATACTGTTGTTTGAGTTTATTCATTTTGATTTTCTAACTCCTGGATTGATATATTTACATCTTTTCTTTTACTGTGACTGTTGTTTAAATGTTTTATTTTGCCTTTAAGTTGCCTGATCCGTGAACAAGTAAGAACATCCTGATGTGAGATTTTGCTTTTATTTCTTGGATTCTTGTCATAAGCAGAATCTTTGCCAAGGTGAGATATCTGGCTATAATGGTTTGACTTACTGTTTTTACAGAAAGGTGTTTGGCTTTTTCATAAACCTAAAAACTTCTTGTTAAATGAGTCTTATCAATCACTTATTGGGTTACATAAACTAATAGTGTGGGTTGTTTAATGCAGCATGGAACATGAATTGATGAATGTACTTTGCTGATGATTATATGAGTTGATTCCAGCTTAGAGATGATACCCGAATGGACTTTGTTGGTAAATTTCAGGTGAATTTTGGGCTCATTAATTCAAACTGGACTGGACAAAAAGCTGAATGGTTGTTGTTGAAGATGTCAAAAAGCCACAATGACTCTTTTGCACTTTCTCACTGCAGGCCATGGAACCAAGGAGTTTGGGGTCCTGTTGCATGTGATACCACCACAAATGAGGCGTCAAGGTCACTCTTCTCATCCCTCCCACTGCTGCATACTGCTGAGAGGCCACTACAACTGATCATCATCAGATGGGATGCATGCAGGCTCGCCAGGACGGCAGATAAGTAAACGATCTGCCTTCAGCTTGCAGGACAAATCCACCATGTCGCTGCTGATGATGGGAGATCGCACTTTGCTCTGAAACTGCCCCTCAGCATCTGATGGAACAAGAGGAATAGCAGCAGTTGAGAGGGACAACGGAATCGACATCTGGTGTTTGAGACCCCTCCTGGGTCCGTCCACACGACACTGTGACCTGCCTCCAACGACGTATCCAGTACCCCAAATCTCCCGTCTGGTTTCATGGTTCCCTGT